TGTGGGGCAACCTGGGAGGCACCCCTGGGAGCCGTCTTTGCTTTGGGGTTTTTTTTTGGTTTATTTTTCGCCAGGAGGCCAGAAGGGCCCGGAGGGATGCAGAGCCTGTGGCCCCGGGGCTGTAGCGGGCCCCAAGCGGCGCCCAGAGGCTCTTTTTGGGATCCCGAAGCCTGCTGAAGGAGAGCCTCTCCTCTCCTGCTGCTGTCCCAGCTTGCTCTGCCCTAGCTGCCCGGGCTGGCGTTCATAACTTTTATTTTAACTTCCTCTCCGCATCAGGGCAGATATGCCTTCAGACACATCCCTATTTCAAAATTTGAGGAAAACAGGCATTTTGTGATGCATCTTTTACACTTTTCTCCCCTTCCTTTCCCACCCCTTCAGCAGCCAACATGGATATGGAAAGCTGGGGGGAGAATGTAGGGCAGGGAAGAAAAAGCTGAGTGATATTTTCTTTTTTACCTGTTACTTTTACTCTTTTGCAGTAACCATCGAATCAGCAGCTGATATTCCAGGTTTTAAATACAGAAATTCAAATTTGCTGTTACCAAAAACAGCTGTAAAACTAGATGTTTTATTAGCCCGCTGCTTCTTGTCTTGCAGCTCTTTGGACATGAACAGTTCCAACACAACTTTAGAAAAGCACAGCTTGGAAGTGTTTTGGTCCGAAATTAGAGCAATCTCATACGGATGCGTTTGTTCATCTTAAAAATGGCAACTTGACAAATGTGGGTGATGTGAGTGGAGCAAGGAGTTGGGAAGAGCAGCTTGACGTGGGTTTGGCAGTTTCTGTGCCTGTGGTCAGGGTCTCCTTTAACCTGCTTTAGCCTCGAAAGAAGCCTGCTTTAGCCTCCTTAACAGGAGTTTGGAGGGGAGAAATAGGACTAGGGATTGATAGATATTCAACTAGTTTGAAATTCAGGCTGGTTGTTAAGTGCCAGATTTATGTGTGTTGGGAGGGGATGATTCTGGTATTTTTGAATAGCAGAATCGAGCTGTATCTGTCTCCTCACCTGGAATTGCAGTGTATAATACTCTGTTTTGGATTTTTCCTTCAGGGACCTAACACAATCGTGATCTGCATGGTCATCTTATTGAACATTGGTCTGGCCATCCTATTTGTACATTTTTTGACATGATGTGCCCCTCGGACAAGGTAAGACAAGCAATGAGATTTTTCTCCTCAATTTGTAGACTTTACTGGGGACAGTTTAGGGTTGACTGGCTTTATTGCCAATGCAAATAATTCACTGATGGATGCCCTGGTGATGGAAATGCATGGGAATTTACTCAATAGATGCAATTGCCTTGCATTGAGCGTTGAGATTCTCAGTTACCCCTTGTCTGTTCCAAGACTGTTTGTGGAGTAACTTCAGTGGATAGTTCTCAAGTCTTTTCATAAAACCATTTCCTCAAAGTTAAAAAATTGAACTGTGTTGATTGGATACAATCACGCAGTATAGTTTTGCCTTCCCAGTTGAATGGACACAATTAATGGAGTGAGATTTCCAGTGCAAGAATGTGTGATGTTAAATTTGAAATTTGTTTTCTACAAGAAACACTTTTGATTTGCTGTTCCATGGCTGCTGCTGCCAGGTACCTCATGCGTTGCAATATTTCTTGGCACTCAGCCCAGCAAGAGGCAGGAATACAAAGAAAATGTGAAACTGGAATTTGCAGCTCTAATTGCACCAGTGATAGTTCTGCAACTGTTGTTACGTAAAGGTTGTTTTACTAAAGGTAAATATGAGCTGAGATATCTATCTGACTAAGGTTAAACTGGAGCTCGCTCAGTCTTCCGCTTGAATTGGGATGAGGGTTTGCAATTGGATTTGGTGGCAATAAAATTTTCTGAGGTTTTTTGTGCCTGTGGGATTCTTGCACACGGGAATGCATCATGGGTTTGCATAGGATTTCTGTCACCTTGGGCTCAAATATTGCAAAAAACCCCATCGATGCTGAACCTGGCCCTTGAGCCTCACGTGAACATAATAGGAGAAGCACCTCCCAAGCCCCTGTGAGCGTATCAAGCTGCGTTCCCCAGGGCCTCCTGGGGGATAAAACTGCTCCGCTGGGCACTGCTTTCTGTTGCGTTATTAGTCCCCGCTCAGCATGCACAGGTGAAAGTCTTGCAGTCAACCATGATTACGTTGGTCATGTGTTTTGCTCCCCCCTTGACTCTCCCATTCATCTGTGTCTGGGACAGGCGTTGCTGCTGATGGAGACCACAGACCCTGGTGGGGATTAAATCTCAGCCACCTGAAAACACCTAAGAGGAGGACTTGAGATCCCAAGGTTGCACCGCAAACATCAACCTTAAACGAAAGTGCCTGAAGATCAGTTCAGTCTCCCTGCTCCCAAGCTGTGGCTGGCCTCTGCAATCTACCAAGGAAAAGCCAGGGTTTCTGCAATTCAGCCTCCTTCTCTTCTTTGTATAAAATAGCAGTTGCCTTAAATTGTTCTCACCAAAGCCATCAACTGTCCTGTCATGCCAGGGATGAGGGATTTATCTGTAGCTGTAGGAAAACGAGTGAGAAGGTCTTATCCGTGCACACTGATGTGTTTTGTAACTCCCTTGGTTGACTCAGTGTCAGAGATTTCCCAAAGAATATCATGCCTGGCGTGGAGATGAAGCAATACACAGCAACCAAAATGACTCATGAGAGCTGTGCCACGGCTAGGGGTGGACAGCATCGCCCTCCATGCTCAGAAGTCATCCAAAGAGACGAACAGAAAGTCTTTCCTTTCCCCATTGCCTGGAGTCGTTTTCCGTGTATGGAGGACTGAGAGGGGGAGCAAGTTGAAATTGGGCTTGTTGAAGTGTAACCAAAGTCCTGCCCATGCCTGCCGACGCGCCACGGATGGGGGCTGCAGGGTGGGGTGCAGGGGGCTGCCTGATCTGAGGCTGTTCGTGCATGCGGGGGGTGCTGAGGAGGGAGATGGTGCCCTTTTGGGGACCACGTGCTGTCTGAGCGCTCTCCTGCCACCAGCAATGCTCTGCATAGAAGCGTCTTGCAGTGGGAGACTTCCCACTGTAACGGGAAAGGAAAGAGGTGTGCTGAATTTGTCCCCTTACCCCTTTTTTCTATGAAAATGGTGCGAGTTACAACAAAAAGGAGGTACTTATTGAAAAATACCTCTGTACACCCGCAGGTTCCTCCCCTTAGTGCCCTGGGCTGCAGGGAGGGCTCCTGTGCTCTTTCATTGCAACAGAGTGAACAAACTTTCCAGCCAGAGGATGCAGGGTGGCTGTCATGGGAGAGGTTATGTTATTCCCAAAAGGAAAAAGGTGCAGAGACCTGAGTGACTCTACTGTATTTGGGTGTTATGTTCAGAAATATATGGCAGCCAGACTTTCAGCAGTGGTAGAATACAGAGGGGCAACTCTAGCTGTTGTTCTTGTGTGCGAGGCTTAGAGGCCTGGGCGATTTGCGCCGATTCTTCCCAAAGCTGCGACAGAGAGTGACCTTTGGAAGGAGATGTTTCTACCATGATCTGCTCTGATCCTTAGCAATGTGAGCTTAGAAAGTCGGCACAGATGAAGTTACAGTTTAGTGTGAGGCTGAGTGCTTGGACATGTTTCTTCCTTCTTTTAAGAGCAATATGTATTTTCTATCCCTTTTTAAGATAATTGGAAATGTTATTTATAGTCAGTTGTGCACCTCTGTGTATCGTGAAGTCCCACAGCACAGGACTGGGTGACAAAACCTGAGGGACTGGAAAGAATGGGGAAATGATGGTTAAGGAAAAAAACAGATGCCCAGTCTGCTCCAAAGGCCAGTCTGAAAGGATTTCAGAGACAGGCTAGCAGACAGGCAGGGGTTTACACTGACTGGAGACACAGGGCAAAACCTGCCTAATTTATCTGTTCTAATTATGGCATAAGCGAGTGAGAATAATTCAGTACTTTTCTTTGTGAACCAAGTTTATTTTTTAACCTTATTCAGCTCAGGAACGTTGCCACAGTAGCATATACGTGGTGTTAACTGTGGGAGAAGTGAATGTGATCCCTTCCTAAAAGCCATGTGGCTGTACCAGTCCTGAGAAAGCTGTGCAGCATCATCTACGCTTCCACAGAGCATAGTTTCGTAGCAATTTGCTTCTTTTCTTTTTTTTTCTTTTCTTAAGTATAAATGTACTGCAAACCCCAGGCTCTGCTGCCTTTGACGTTTTATCTCCGTTTGCTGACACTCACTTGCCAGCTTTGCAGTTTCAGTATGCCAACTGCTTTTATTAACCACCAAGACAATTTCCGTTGAGAGACCTGAGGGGCTTTTATTTATCACTAAGCACAAAAAAGAATCTTTTTCAACAGCGCTAAGGTAATTCCCCCCTGCCCCGATTTTTTATGCATGTGATGTGCACTCAGTAATGTGCTTTCCTCCTAGTAACCTTCTGAGAAAAGTAGGTAGATTTGCTTTTATGTGATGTATAAATATATCCATATTGCACTGAGATATGGATATGTATACATATATATAGCCCCTTAGGGATTTCGTTTTCTTAGATGCAAAAATAACAGATTTACCTCAAACTGCATGCTTTCAAAACTGACTAGGATATTGTGTTATACTTTTCAGGTCTTACAAAGATGCAGATACATTTCACTCTTCACACAAAAATACCTTCATCACAGATTTTGCAAGCTGTTTACTACAATCTGTGTACTACTGTCCGGAGTTTTCTGTCGGTTGTTCTGCTGGATTACGTGCAATAATAAACAGTTATCTGCTCACTGTATCCATGTGGGTCTTTACAGGGGAATCTCCAGGTTTCTTTCCAGGTTGACACTTTCACTCCAGTCTTAAAGGAGGTTTCATCAACACATGGTGCTCAATTTCATAGGTGGTGTTGGGATGGTTTTTAGCTTTTCCGCAATATCTGTTTCAAAATCTTGCATTGTTTGTTGATTGGGGTACTTTGCGAAGATAATAATTTTCACTTACTGCTTTTTAAAAGGTTGGTGCCAGATGTCTGAGGACACTTCCAGCTCTCTGAGCAAGCTCTGTGTGCTACCATCACGCTGGCCTCCTCCAGAGGTTGCACCGGGCCAGAAGGAAAGGCAGCTTGCTGGCCCGAAGCCTGCCCGGGCGATGCAGACGGCTGCTGACAGGTCCCTTCGCTGCCTCTAGACCCCAGGGCTGCTGCCAAGTTTCTTCCAAGCTGTGCGTTGCTGCCTGCTCCTCCAGCACCGTGGTCCTCCTGGGTTTGGAGAGGACTGATTCTCCTTTGCCTGCGGCCCGTCCTCTCGCTCGGCCCCTTGAAATGGCCAAAGTGAGAGGAAAGCCAGGCACAGGAGACAGGGAAATGGCAGTCAGGGGAAGAGCGATTTACAGGGGAGGATGGGAGAGCAGAGCCCAGCGCCAGCCAGGGGCAGCGGGGCCCAGGGGCCTGAGGAATCCAGAGTAGCTGAAACCTTCAATCCCTTTTCTATTTCTGGAGTGTCTCACATGAGCAAAGCCGGGCTGTGCAGAGGGGCTGGCGGGACGCAGGCTCAGCCTCTGCAGGCAGCAGGGGCTCCCCCGGCTTCTGCAGGACACAAGGGGTCTCCTGGGGGAAGAGTTCATGTTCTGGTAGAGATTTAAGGAGCTGAGTTTGGTGAAATGATGGCTTTACTCTACTCTGGGCTTGTTTTGCTTCTGGTATGGGAGGAACCAGCAGCGTCTCATTCATCCAGTCTCTGGGAGGAGGCTGGGGGCAGCGGTGTAACCGGAGCCCTTTGCACCTCATAAATCTCAGGCTGATGAATGGAGCAGATCTTTGGCCCATGTGTGGCAGAGGCAGCAGGGAGGGAGGTGGGTCTGCTGCTAAAGCAATGACGTATTCCTTCAAAAATATTAATAAAGGCAAAACGAAAAGCCTGCCCCTTCCTCAGGGAAGGGGGAACAGTGCTGGGTCTCTGCCTCGAGAGCTGCTGGTTTCAGGGCTAACGTCCCCCACACTGCTCCCAGCCGAGCGTCCCCGGGTGCAGGCAGGGAGGTGTCCGATATGTGAGAAGCGGGATAAAGGCACTGGCCTGATCCTGTGACCGAAGGGCAGCAGCCTTAGCCTCCACCAGTGGGAGGGAAGGTGCAATCTGAGCCCCGGTGTCCTTTGAGCGTGACCTGCCCAGGCGTCCTGGGGATGACTGCGCTGCCCT